AACAATCTTCGATATGCTGACAACATAACTCTCCTCTCAGAAACCAAAGGCCTGAAACATCTGATCAAAAGGGTTAAAGAAGTGAGAAATTTGGCCTCTTCCTGAACATCAAAAAGACCAAGCTCAAGACCACTGCAGGGAATGGAAATGGAAATAACAATTGATGGTGAAGAGATCAAATGCGTGCAAGAATTCACTTTCCTAGGATCACAGATTGATCAAAGCAGTGAATGCAGCCCAGAAATAAAGCATTGAATTGCACTGGGTTGCACAGCAATGATGAGCATGAAGCAACTATGGAAAAGCAAGGACATTAGCCTGACAACTAAATGCAGATTAGTCTGCACTATCTTGATTCCCATAGCTACCTATGGTTGTGAATGTTGGACCATGAAAAAAACTAAACAAGAAGAAAATCGACTCGAAAATCAAGCTGTGGTGTTGGAAAAGGCTCCTGCACATTCCTTGGTCAGTAAAGGTGACAATCAAGCAAGTACTGGAGCGTATAAAACCAGACATATCACTGGAGGGCAAAATCACAAAATTCCGCCTTACTTATCTTGGCCATGTCATGCAACCAAACTCACTGGAAAAGGCAGTTATGCTCAGAATGGTCAGCAGTAAAAAGAAATACAAGACTGAAAAATGTGGAGAGAGCTGGTCCATAGAATTGCTGAGAACTGGACACGATTGAACGGATAGCATCATCATCATAATCACTGTTCCAGCTTACATACAAATTTGACTTAAAGACAGACCTTGGGAACGGAACTCATTCTTAAACTGGGGGCTACCTGTACCTGAGTCATTGGAAAGGCTGAAAGTAGGGGATAGCTGAAAACATTCACAGCTTCTTTGCCAATTATTTTTGCAATAGTCACATAAACCTAATCCTCTTAACTGACTCTCCAATCCTCCCAAACTGGCTGTAGCCTTCTCAGAGAGTCTTGAGTTTGAACCAGAGCAGGCTGATAGCAGATTGGCTACTTACAAGGGATCTGATCCATCCCAGATTGCTGCTGCAGGATAGACTTCTGGATGAGTTGTGTGTGAGAGTGAACAGGTATCTGAAATTCACATTCTTACTGTGCCTGTCTCTGTCCCTCAGGTTGCAATGGAGTCTCTCACTACCCTCACTGGATCCTGGGTCAGCTACCAAGAAGGGAGGGGGGAAGAGAAGCACCAGGCTCCTCTAGGCACGAAGGAGGAAAAAGTCTTGAAGAGAGAGGTAGTGTGCAAGTTAGTTCCCATACAATCAAAAGTAAAGAACCCGATATTAGATCAGACCATTCCATCCAAAACAAGGAATCAACAGAAATTGTATCTCCTGGCCAAAAGATAATTGGTTCTCAACCTTTACATCGGTAGTTCTTAAACTGTTTGACTCAATTACCCCTTTTCCTGGTCTTGTATAATGTCATTACTTCACACACACACACACCCCCAAAAAATCAAATTCTGTTGTTTTACACAAACATCTTGGCAGCAGTTGCAGTCCCAAACTGAATCCTCAACTCACAAGCAGTTACAAATTGCTCCATTACTCCCAGAATATGCCCAAATTACCTCATTGGGGGTAATTACTCCTAGTTTAAGAACCACTGCTTTACAGGAGAAAGAGGTCCAAGAAACACTGATCTGAGCCTTCAGTCCTGGGAAATATATTATTTCAATATTTTGTCTTGCCAGCTGAGAGAAGCCTGATATCTAGAATATTAATAAAACGTGACTTGACTTTTAAAGAAGCCATGCTGGTTTCTTTTCAGCAGAGAAAATGAGAGAGTTGGAAGGTTATTTAGGCTATTGAATCTAACCCACTGCTTGGTGTAGAAATCCAAATTAAAACATCCCCAACAGATGGGTTTTCAGGTTCTGCTTGAATACCTACCATTCTGGATAATTGCTTCCATAGTCAAATTGTTCTTAATGTTAAGTTCTTAACATTTAGCTGGAATCCCCTTCATGTAATTTAAATCTGCTTTTCTATGCTGTGTTCTCTGAAACATTAGAGAACAGGTCTTGAACTTCTATGTGCCATCTTGGTAGGTATTTGAAGAGTGCTATCTTCCCCTTAGTAATTTCTTCTCATGGCTAAACATACCCAGAAGGTTCAATCTCTCTTTGTAGGTCTTTTTACCCTTCTCTGAACTTGTTCCAGTTTTTCTTATTCCTTGTGGTGCCCACCTAATTTAGTTTAATCTGCAAATCTGACAAATACTCTCTCCACCTCTTCATCCAAATCACTAATAAAAACATCGAAGAGCTCAGGACTGAACCTTGTGGCACCCCACTCAATTATCTCACTCTGATAAGCACTTCTTAGTTTGATTTTTTAGCCAGCTATGTATGTATCCACTTTACTCTGGTTTACTAATTAGAATGTCATGCGGTACTTTTTCTAATGTATTGCTGAAATTAAGATATATGACTTCTAAACCTAAACTACTAAGGAACTTACCCCATAAAAGAATGAGGTAAGGTTATTCTGCCAAGACTTGTTTTTGACAAAGTGATGCTGACTTCTGATGATTACCTGTTTTCAAGATGCTCACACATTATCTACTCCAAATCTTCCCAGATATTGATGTCAGACTGATTGATCTGTACCTAACCAGACCATCAGCTAATTCCTCCAGTACCCTAGCATGCAATTCATCCAACCCTGGAGATTTAAATTCTTTCAAATAAATCAATAAATATTCCCTGCACTTGTTTCTACTAATCTGTCTCCAATCTTGTATCTTCATTCTTTACTTGGTTGTCTTAATTGAGCAGCTGGTGTGTATACATGTATGTATATATGTGTGTGTCTGTGTATATATATATATATATATTTCTTTTGATTTGGTTATATTTAAAGATGTTTGTTGTTCTTATCATCTCAGCTCATTCTGAACTTTAGCTTTCCTGACACACTATTGTTCCTGGCTATCCGTCTACATTATACCTCGGTATGTCCCCCTTTCTACTTCCAGTACATGCTTTTTTAATTTTCAGATATTCAGTAAGCTTTTTATGTAGTATCCACTCCTTGTTGTTGTTATTCGAACTGTGTTTTTAACTATCTCTTTCTTTTCTGGGGAGAACACCCACTAATCTTCACTACTTTTCCCATTTTCTTCTCCTGCTATGGAAACTTACTTATCATGGCCAGAAGTAACTACACTATTATTTCTCCTCCTTCCTTTTTTTTTTTTTGAAGGTCCAATATATATTTAACTACATTTGGGTTTACTTTAATTTACAATTAAGAAATCCAGCATTACTTGATTAATGTTCCAGTGTTCCTACTACTTCAGTTTCCTTAAACAGATCTTCCCTACCGGTTAGGGATTAAACCTAGTTATTTGATTAGGAGAAAGTTATCAACAACACAAGTTAGGGATTTATTGGAAGGCCATGGTTGGCAGCATTCATCACTCAACAGATGTTGGCATTTTAAAATCCACTATAATAAATGCTAATAAACCTAGGGGTTTTATTTTTAATCTGTGAATTAGGTTTGTAACTTGTCTTATCACCTCTATTTGCCTTGGCTCATTGGATTGCTTCCTGAAAAAGCTAGCTCAGGCATCTATCCAACCTAATCAGCGTTTAAGGCAGATGTAGAAGAGGGGGCAAAGTGATGCTGCAGCTGGATCTAAGGCTGTTATTTTTCTCATTCTAATATCTTTTTTGGTATTTTTTAAAAAAATCTGAGAAATACTTGTGGGTCCAAAAAGAGATATGTCTAGATTTGTTTTTTAATATGTCCTGTTTGACACTTTGAACTAGATACACCTTATACAAGTGCCATAAATGATGTTCATCAGCGTAGCCCAAAGCTTATTTTATGTGTCTCAGTTCATTCTTGAAAGTTAGACTACCTGGATTCTTTGAACCTAAAACAAAACAATAGGATAGAAATGTTGCTAAAAGCTATCAACACTGTTTAGCTCAATAGGGATGATGTAAGAGTATTATGAAGTATTAGGAACTGCAAAATAAAAGACTTCAGAGAAAACCTCAAATAACCTCAATCAGTTGTGAGGATGCAGATCTGAAAGCAGTAGAATTGCAACCTGATTTTGACTTTTCCCCCCGAATACCTGATTATGCAGAAGGAAAAGCCACTCTGCTGTAGTTAATAGCAGTACTTCTAACCAAACATGAATGAGTGCAAATCCCAAATTCAGTCAGGCTTAGCTTCCTTGAGTATTATTTTACTTTTAGCTAAAAAATGTACTAAAAGTATAGCTGCATCTAGTTTAGTCTGCATGAAATTAATGCATAGGTTTTCTTATCTGGGAACAAATAGCACTGAACATAGCAAGATTTTTTGTCTGGGAAACATGCACAGATACCAATTTGTTAAATTGGTTCTTTAATAAGCATCAAATATACAGATGATGCAGGTAGATAACGATGATGCCATACATTTATTAACATTCATAAGAAAAAATACTTGGGGAGGTGGGAATACTTTTATCTGTTGCTTTTAATCTATAAGGCAATATACCCTAAGAACTACCATAACAGACGAAGTGTCTCTTAAGAGAAAGCAAAGAGCAATGCTTTTTCAGAGAAGCAAATGCCACTGGCAATTTTTAAAGTACTTATCACTTTTTTAAAAAAGTGATGTTATTCAGGTAGTCAAGGCCATCTTTCTAAGAACTAATCAGAAATAAATTGTTCTTCATTGATCTGACCTATTGTCTACTACACGTAGCTTTGGTTCATGATTAAATTCTTCACTAACTGAACTATTTTTCCCATTAGAAGATAATAATGTACCCTTTCAGTACAAACTGGGAGATTGCAACCGCCTCTCTCGCCCAAATATAGAATGGCTTTTTCAGTACAAAAGCCAACAGAATCCCAAAACAAAGATGGTGAATCAAGATGTCAATGAGAATCGCGTTACGGCTGTAGTTGCGCTACACTAGTGATTCCTACTACAGAAAATAATTTGCCCAACGAAAAAATGGCCGCCTTCCTTATTGAGAGATAGGGCTTGCAGCCCACAGTCAAAATGGCCGCTACACTTCACCGGCTAGAGATTCGCGAGGTGCTCGACCCGATTCCAAGATGGCGAAGCGCCGTTGGCGTGAGGTGAGAGTTGTCTGCGTCACGTGACAGGCAAGACGGGGGTGTGTGTATCCCCGTCGTGTGTCCCGGCGGAAGAGTGAAGGGAGTCGGCTGAACGGTAACATCTTACAGCAAAGGGAAAATAAAGCGGCGCGACTAGCGCTGGAGAACCGGAGACACGCCAGTCACCACGGATTCATCCGTAGCCAACACGGCGGCCGGGGCGCAGCCACCTTCGCTGCCTCCGCCGCCGCCTCCTCCATCGAGGATGTCGCGCAGAAAGGTGAGCAAGTGCGGACCGAACCAACCTCCTTTCCCTCTCTTCTCTTTTTACCTGCTTAGACCGTCGGGCTCGAAAACCAGTTAAAAACGTAGGCCTTCAAGCCCCTGTTTCATCTCGCGATATGATTGGCTGTTGCTGCCTCCCGCCGCATTTTCAATGGCCACCTTCGCCATCAGTCAAGCGCAGCCCCTTCCCTCAACGGTTATTTGTTTCCCTCCACCCGTTCGATGACTATTGTAGCCCACCTCCTTTCGTCTGTAATTGGCTCGTGTCTGAACCGTCATTGGTTGATTTCCTTATCATTTCCTACTGGCGCGTTTTTTCCCCCCTCCTCCTCCGTCTCTCTTGTACCCATACTTGGCTGTATGCCTTGGGAGTGGATGTTGAGGGAGGCATTGATTGGTTGGGATTCTGAATCGGCGACCCCGAAATCCCGCCCCGCTCCTCTTTCTCAGTTTCCCATTGGGGAAGAGAGTGATACAAAAGTCCAACCCCCACGCTGGTACGATTGGAGGCGAGGGAAAATGTTAGAGAGGATTCAAAATATGGTAGACAAGATAGAATGGGTCGGTTCTTGGGTCATTATAATTTCATTTGCACGTCTGCTAGAACTCAGTTGGGTTTACCTATAAGTTAAATCTGTTTAGAATGGAACTGCATTTTTTAACACACCGAACATTTTAATAAGATATAAAACCGGGTTTTTGGTAACAAATTTATTTCTAATTATTTTCTACTGAACAGCATACACATTAGATAGGGGTTTTTCTGGCAGTCATCCCTAAAAGAACGAGCATCATGATAACTTAAAGGCTAGCAAATTTATTGTGGCTTAAACTTTTGTAAAAATATCACTAGCTTTGCCATGTCTGTGAAGAATTATTCATGTTTAGCAGATATTTGTAGATATATATCTAGAGTCTTATACTTTTGAGGTGTACATGTAATACCAACTGAATAAAATACAATATACTCTCTGTAAATTACCTGAATTGTGTGTATGGTAATTATGTCAACCTTGATGTTACCTGGAGTTGGGAGATGATAATTGCTATAAAATTCATCCAAAAAGGCTGATGTTGAAGGATTACGGAAGCTTTAAACGTTCATAAGCCATCAGGTTGCCTACTACACTTGCTATCAGTGCATAGGTATAATCTTTTTTCTCCTCTGATATAATCTAATCCTTTCAAAGATCAGCAATAGATATTGAATAGGCTTCCTGTCATTATGTTCATGTACCAGAATCATTGTACTGTACAAACATATTGGTGGTAGCTGACTTTTGTTGGATTAACACAGTGCATTGAACCTAATGTGTCTGGTTTTGACTTCAGGTATTGTATGAACTCAGTCACTGGGTTGTAAAGCATGAAGTGTGGCATGGTGTGATATGTGACACAACTGTTGTGTTTGCTTAATATACTATGATTAAATTAACCCAGTTTGTGAATGCAAGAAAGTGTGTTCATTGTTGCATCGATGCCCTGGCAGAGAAAATGCTGATTTACAGCATGGAATATTTTGTATTATTGCAAAAGAAAAGAAAATGGGTCTGGGCCTTTGGAAAAGTTGATGTTTACAACATACTCTACGTGGGACTGCCATTGAAGAACATTGCGAAGCTACAGCTTGTTCAGAATGCAGCAGCACATGCAGTTTTGGGCACACCATGGTACATCCATGTAGCACTGCTGCTACGTGAACTGCACTGTCTTCTGCGTACAATTCAGGGTACTGATTGTCACCTCTAAAGCCCTCTATGGCATGGGATCAGGTTATTTGTGGGACTACCTCTCCTCAGTGGTTTCTGCCTATTTCACCAGATCCGCCTATCCCACCAGAATGGGCATGCTCCTGGTACCTTCAGAGTACCTTTCTGGTGAGCCCCAGGAAGCATGCCTTTTCTGTTATGGTGCCTGCCATATGGAACAGCTTCACACACACCCCTGTGAAGATCTGTCTCTTCCCCCAAGCGTTGGGACCAGGATGTTAGTGATGGGAACTCTAGCATGGATGTGTGTGACTGGTGACTACAGTGATGGTATTGGACCTTGACTTGCTTTGTTTTCATTTTTTTTTTTTTAGTACATTGTGTGGTATTGGGTACTTGTCTCATAGAACTTATGATAAACTAAAGGACAGTAGTTTTGATAGTTTACCTTTTTTCACTAATTTCATGTTTTTACTGTGACTTCATTGTAAGAACTTGGCTGATTTTTTTTTTTTTAATCATGGGCTTGTTAGTTAAAAAAAAAGAACATTGATGTTTTCCCTTAATAAGATGGTCCACGTGACCTGCCAGTCCAAATTAGGGGGAACTAGGTTTCATGCATAATATCCTTGGCAAATTGACTTAGGGCTTCCTTTATGAACTATCATTGCAGTCTCTCAAAATTAAATGAAACAGCACACACAGGTTGGATACAAAGAGGACAAAGAGAGAATTCTGAAATTCACCCAAGCTTTAGCCAGAACGAAATGTCTCTCTTAGGCAAATTAGCAATATTTTAAATTTATACCACTTATTAACTGTAGTGCATGCTAATCTTTGAGGCAAGACCCAGTTTGGTGTAGTGCTTAGGACATCAGGCTACAGACTGGGAGATTGGGAGTTCTAGTCCCACATTAGGCACAAAGTCAGCTGGGGGACCTTGAGACAGTCACTCTCTCAGCCCTAGGAAGGAGGCAATGGCAAACCACTTCCAAAAAACCTTGCCAAGAAAACTGCAGGGACTGGTCCAGGCAGTTGCCAGGAGTCACAATGGACTCAAAGGCACCAAAAGAAAAAAAACCCAAACCTTTGAGGAGCAGGTCTGCAATAAAGTATTTGTCTTATGTGCTGGTGGCCTTTCAGAGAAATGCAGGAAGCAGTTCAGATGGAACAGAAGACTCAGATTTCTCTACAGACCCAGAGCATACAGACAGTTCAGAAAGCGATGGTGCATCACGCCAGTCTGCCCGTGTGACACGATCTTCTGCTAGGCTCAGCCAGAGCTCTCAAGGTATATCAAGATCTTTCAGAATTATTTATTTGGGGTCTTAAAGTTCTGCTTTAGGGGAAAGGATGCTTGCAGCAATTAGATGTTTTCTCCTAAGCTTTGTCCAAATGTGAGGAGCTGGATAATATGCCAATGAATCTCCACCCACTCTTCATGGAGATAAATGTGAGATTATAATGAACCACCTTCTGGCTTTACTCCCACTCATCCTTGTGGCAATGTATATGTGAATTGTTTCAAACTCTGTTCTTTGGGTAAATACAAAAAGGCAGTCTATAAAAGAACATCCTCTGAATCATAATATCTTTACACTGGATTTGATAATTATTTAAACATTGTTGGTTGTCAGCATTTCAGGAAAAGAAAATCCAGGTTATCAAAGTAATGAACATATATGCATTTTGGAACATATATAAATTTGGATAAACAAGCATCTAGGCAAAATAAGATAGCACAATAAGGAGCAGTATTCCATATATACCTGTATTTCAATACCATTATGAACTGAAGATTTACATTATGAACTGTTTGTGATTTACATTGTCTTTTAAACTTAATTTAGATATGCAGTAAGGCAAAGAAGTAGGTTCTCATCAGCTGAAACTTATGTAAAACTTGCCGATTTTAATAGTTCCTAAAAGAATAGCCATATTAGTCTACTACACTAAGAATTACAAAGAATATGGTGGCGCTTAACGTGGGCTCTGCAATGATGTTTCCTGCAATTAGATGCCATGTTTCTCCCTTAACAATCTCTCCCAATCCTTCATAAAATTAGACTCCAGCCCAGTTCGCAATCCACCATCATTTGGAGCAGAAGAGCCTGTTTATTCTACTCGGAGAGTAACCCGCAGTCAGCAGCAGCCCACACCTGTAACTCCAAAGAAATATCCACTGCGACAGACCCGTTCATCTGGCTCAGAAACGGAGCAAGTGGTTGATTTTTCTGATAGAGGTTGGTACATTTGAATGGTTGGGGTGCACACTCCTAATAAATGTTATCATATGGGGAGATGGAGAATTGATTCATACAGTAGTATTTGCTCAGCTTCCTTTGTAGAATGTTTTAGTATTAATATATGAGGTTAAAAAGCAATATTTTTGTTAAGACTGCATTTAACATCCTAGGTGTTGCTTGATCCCATAGTGTGTGTGAGAGAAATGGAGAGTGTCTATTTTAAGTCACCCTTGATTACAACTTAAGTTTGGCTGACTGATTTTCTTGTTCATCCAGATCATCCTCAGTGACTGGTTAGGAAGGAAATAATATATCTCTGGCATTGTGTTCCATTTTTTTCTGTAATGCTGATACACAGAAATGATTCTGGAAGTATTTATTCCTTGTATATTTTTCTAATTTAGCAAGCCCTTTGTACACTATCCTAATTTTCTCCCTTCTCAACAGACACAAAAAATGCAGCTGACCATGATGAGTCCCCACCCCGCACTCCAACTGGGAATGCTCCTTCTTCAGAGTCTGATATTGATATCTCTAGTCCCAACATGTCACATGATGAAAGTATTGCCAAGGATATGTCCATGAAAGATTCAGGGAGTGATCTATCCCATCGTCCCAAACGACGTCGTTTCCATGAAAGCTATAATTTCAACATGAAATGTCCCACCCCTGGCTGCAATTCGTTAGGTACACTGGAATGATTTGTGATCTGAGTTTTAATTATTAGGATTTTCTATTGCCTAAACCTCCCATATGTTCTTTTTGGCAAGCCATAAACTATATTTCCACAGGACACCTGACAGGAAAACATGAGCGACACTTCTCTATATCTGGATGCCCTCTGTATCATAATCTTTCAGCTGATGAATGCAAGGTAACTTATTCTCCCAGGATGTGTGTAATGAAGGAAAGCACGTGGGGGCTGGTAATTGTAGGGGGAATGGAGCAGAATTCAAATGCTTCAACACATCTTTGCAAACTGTAAATTTTGGAAGATGTATGTTTTATACATCGTACTAAGACATGGATTGTTTTAACCATCACTTGAGGCTTGGTGGCCCCAGGAAAATTCTGCCAATTCTAGCAGTTTCCAGGTTCAAGAGCCACATTGTTGAAGGTTCTTCATATTTTTCCTTTAAACTGCATGATGTAGGAAGGGAATTCATATAACATTTCTCTGGATTTCAAGGTGAGAGCACAAAGCCGAGACAAACAAGTGGAGGAGCGGATGCTTTCTCACCGACAGGATGACAACAATAGACATGCTACCAGGCACCAGGTAGTTTCTATTAATTTTGTATGTATTGCTCAAGTATGTGCTGGCTTTAGAGCCTCACCTGGCAAATCTCTTTCATAGTGGTCATTGTACATCAAATTCTTCCCAAACATTGAAGTAATTTTGTGGTGGATAAGATTCGGTCTGAATATATGGCCTCTTACTTGAAATGCATGCATCTTTTTATTCAGTTATTTATTTGTTAAATGTATTTTGTTCTTTCGTGACTCTTGCACATATCTTTTGGGTGTGTTTTGTTGCTCAGAAAGAGGGAAGCGAGATGATTCCATATATGTTTATTGCTGAAGGGTTGCCACATTGCACGTATGACAGCCATGCACATATGAATAATCTTTCCAGCTCATAATTTGATCCTGTAGTGCAGCATTATAAAAAGCTGCTCTGCTGCTAAACTGGGGGGAGATGCATAAAAACAGGTGCCATGAAGTTACTGGAGAACCCATTCAACATTGGTGAAGCCAGATACTGAACTTCACACAATATGGTGCAATAGTTAATGGTCCTGTTCTACTATGTGTGAAGTTCAGTGTCCCATCACTGCTGCAACTTGCAGGGCATGGGTATGCATCTAACTTCCACAGATACCTCCAAAAATGTAGCAGAGCTATGTAGCCCTATGCCAATGATTTAGTAGCAAGGAGAGTGCCTCCAAACACATTGGAAGTATTTTGCCACAGTCAGCCACTTGTGAGATTTAGTGTCAGGCTTAAAATTATTTGATAGAGGATATTTTTCTTATGGGAGTTAATTTGTATAAAGAATTGCCATGCAGTGCAAGAATCCATTGTTACTGCAACATGGAGATTATAATTGTGCCCATGTACTGGCAAACCCATGTACTGGAAATAATGCCACATTGCTGTGAGAACCTCAGCCTGTCCTTGCCTTTCTTGGGAGCTGTGGGGTGGAGGTTTCAGGCAATTTTGAAATGGTACCTAGGCTTGTGAGTGTGTGTCCCTCCTAAGCAAATATTTGTTTCTTATTCCCTGCAAGGCACCAACTGAAAGACAACTGAGATACAAAGAGAAAGTAGCAGAGATGAGAAAGAAGAGGAATGCAGGCTTAACCAAGGAGCAGAAGGAAAAATACATGGTACAGAAACCTCATTTCTTTTCCTTAGAGAGCTGAGCATGGGAGAATGAGCCAAACATTAATGCATCTTTCTCAGTCTGGTCCCTCCAGATGTGTTTTCACTGTTCTTAACCACAATCTGTGGAAGGTCAGGGAAATGGGAGTTAAAGCTTAATATATCTGGAGCAATACTTTTATGCCATGGATTTGCAAAGAACAGTTCTATATGCAGCAAGCTCTGAGATGAATAAGAGTGGCTGAAATGGATAATAGTTATCTGGAGCTAAAATTAGAATTTGAGCTGAAGTGTAAACCCTATTGTGAATTCCAGCCTTGTTGTCTTATAGCCCTTCTTTCCCACAGCACATTGTCTTCCCCGACCTGTGTCACAACTGAGATGACAGAACTGGAGATGGTTTTAGAAGCTGTTTAGTCCAACCCTCCATCTGAGGCATGAGAAATAGACCATCTGTTAAATAGACTGTTGAGTCTTTAAGCCCCCTGCTTAAAGGTCTTTAGCCAAAGAGAAAAAAAGTATCTCCTAAGTTCATAGTTCTATCATTAAACAGCTCATGCCATTAAGAAGCTTTTGCTGTATGTTCAGACAAATACTGTTTTCCTTTAATGTAGCCCATTAAGGTCTTCTGAGGCATCAAAAAACCTTTTTCTGTGTGATGAAAAGGAGTGAGTGGGGATGTAACAGCAGTCTTCTCTCAACAAACCATGTCAACATTCCTTGTAGATTTCTTCCCATTATCCAACCACCTGAATCTTCTTTTAAACACATTTTAATTAATTTACATTTTCCAGCATGAATGTTTTTTGTAAAAGCCTTTCAGTTTTCTGAAAGTAACAGAATATGGTGATACCGCTGAAAGGAGTGGGGCTGAATTTTTCAGTCCAGTTTTTTTGTGGCAGGAAAGTTTATAGAAAACAGGTGTGTTAAATTTTCAGTAGATTTCATGTACTATTTTATGGCTTATTTTATTAAAAATGGAAAGACTACTACTGAGAAATAGTGGTTTACCACTGGATCTTTGCAATAAGATCTTGGGGATTGGGGGGGCTGCATAAATCTGAATGGGCCTATGTAGTCTGGGTGGTGGGATTTTTACCTTGTTTTTTAGGATGCAGCATTAAGCTGAATGATAATGCCAGTTTATCTTCATTCCTTACCTGACTCCTTGCTTCCTCATTTTCAACATCTCTCTCTGTCCATAGATCCTGCCTGTAGTTCCCCTCCCCTCATCTAGCCCAGCCAGCTAAGCCTTTCTTTCTCTCAGAGCAGTGTTGCTCATCTTTCTTATAGCTCATTATCCATCCACGCCCACCCTCTAAACCAGTGTTAGCTGGCTGAGGAATTCTGGGAGTTGAAGTCCACTCATCTTAAAGTTGATGAGGTTGAGAAACACTGCTCTAAACAAATAGGGTGGTGGCTACCAGGAGCTGATTCCCCAAGCCCAGGGGAAATTTTTTTCTTTGTGTTTATTAAATATTTCTTCTGTTGTTGCATCAGGAACACCGACAAACCTACGGTAACACTAGAGAACCCCTTTTAGAGAATCTGACTAGTGAGTATGACCTAGAGCTATTCCGACGAGCGCAAGCAAGAGCTTCTGAAGATCTCGTAAGTAGGACTGAGCTCATTTCATTTCATGTCCCAGGCATGAAAGTAATAAGCCAGTTATATTTACTTCCCTATAATGTATGCAAATCGCTGTAAATGGATAGGACCAAACCAAGCTGATGGAAGGAAGCAAAGCTAAAAGGTTGATTGTACACTTCATAACTTTTTGAAGGTTAAGGGTTGGTCTTGGCCTAGTACATTGGAGATACACACTCCAAAAGTAGACAGGGACAAGATCTAAACACAGTTTAGCATATGTTTAAATTTTATTAAATTCAATGTAATTAATTAAGTTAATATTATTCTAAGGGTATTTAACCATTTATTTCTTTGGCTATTTTAAAAAATATAATCTAGTCATAACTTACAGGATGACGGCTGAGAGTTTTGGGTGGATAGAACTTTTTAAATTAAAAATGCAATAGAAAAAACATTAAGAACAGATGAGTTAATCAATTAATCACCTCATATACTGGTGATCTTTTCTGGCCTGATGGCTGTAATAAATGATCAGTCTGCCTAAGTAACATTTTTGCCAGCCAGACTTGGTTTTCCTGGTGCTTGACATTTTTAGATTAATACCACAGTCATATTAACTGGGTATGCTTCAATATAGGTATAATGACTTGAAGCATACTCAGTAGGAGACAGAGCAGTAAATGAGATAAAATAAGAGGTTGGGACAGTTACCTTAGCAAATTATCAAGTCTTCCAGCCATTCATCTCTGTATTTGATTATGTTTTACTCTCCAGTGAAGGCATTTTATGGTTTGATCCATATTTAGCTTATGAATCAAACTCACCGATCTGAAAAAATAGTATAAAAGTGCTTATGCTGTGATCCTTATTCAGCTCAAAATTGCCCTCCTTGATGGTCACAGATTATATTCACTACTATTTTTTTTTTTAAAAAAACCCTCCTTTCTAGCTTTCTGAAATACAAGTAGTCCCCAGTTTAAGAACAAGCTCGGTTCCCAAGGTCTGTCCTCAGGTTGAATTTGTACGTAATACTGTATAATTTGTATAATACTGTATAAGTAGTATTATGTAATTAACTTGATTCATTGTGTATTTAACTTGAATTTTGCTTCAGTAGCTCCGTTCTTAACAGTGGGTCGCCGGTAACCCGGGTGTTCTTAACCCGGGGACTACCTGTATAGCTTGATGCATCTTTCTTGCGTAGATGAAAAAAGCAGCTTGGAAAAGACAACTCTGATCTGAAATAAGACCCATCAGTTTTGGTTTATTTTCAGCTGTGGCATATTTTTTCTTGATGATGTTTAAAAGGGTTTTCTGGATTTTTTCCTGTTTTCTGTTTTTTTTTTCCCCTCTGCTGCTCCACCTATGTAGTCCTCAAAGGCCTAAGAAACATGTTATTTAAAAAAAATGCTCCCTGGTTCCAATAAAAGCATAACTGGTGTACAGTATTCTTGAGAGAAGAGAATTGTCTCCAAATTCAGAACATCTTAACTAAATTTGGTATTTTTTTAGCCTGATGGAAGACTGACCCCAATCTATTTGGAAACAAAAGCTTTGTGTTGAGAGATGTGCAGGACAGTTTCATACCTCTGTTAATCAGAAAGTTAGCATCCTCTGCATGACCCTCACCTCTCTTCTTTGTTGAGGCCTTGGGCAGGGCTTTTGGCCTTCCAGATTTCCTGTCTCCAATGGCTAATGGCAATCAGAGCTGCACAGTTGTTCAGGTTAACTGCTGTCATACTAGAAGACCATAATTAACCACGATTCATTTCTTTCCCACCCTTGGAATAAAGGAGATGTGAAAAAATAGATGTATGCCACCTTGCCAGCCCAGAGGCATTAACTTCCTACTTTTTTAATATTACTTGGAAGTACATGGGGAACATATTTTCTTCATAAGGAAAGAGAGAAGTTGCAGCAGCTCTGAAACTGAAAAGCAATTGTGCTGTATCTCCTGTTTTGTTTGACAGTTTTACAATACCTTCATATGAGGAACCTGCAACTACTGAGTGCCAGGACCTGGATAGCTCCTAAAGCTAATGCACTATATATAGTCATCTGAAGTGCAAAGGTCCATGAGAGGGTTTGAACTCCATAGAATAACATCAGGCTACCTATGTCTGATGAGCCCCAAATAGGGCAAAACTGGTCACATAATGCCTGGCTCCTCAGTGTAACTGCATATGATCAGTGAAGCCTAGGGGAATTGGCATAAAATCCTGCTATTTATTGTGTGTTAATAGTGTCCAACCAGGTATATGGTTGGACACTATTAACACACAATAAATAGCAGGATTTTATGCCAATTCCCTTCAATATATCCACAGTGGGGGTTGCATCTCCAGATCATGAACATGCATGCATAGAACATCAAAGTAAAACTGAATTGGGATTTCTGTTTTCCTCTTTCAAAATAGATAATAATTACTTGAACCCTTTAAGAAGTTTTTTTTTTTTTCCCCAAATAGAGAAATCATTTAAAATCTTTGCTGCTCTGTTTTTTAATGACTGTGGCTGAATTTGTGTAAGTAATGATTATTTGCCTGCCATGGTTTATTGAATATGACAAGTGGCTGGGCTTATGCATTGTGCTTAGCTGCAAACTCACAAACCACATTTAACTTAATGCAGCTTGTAAGCTTAAGAATAGTCTGGTTTGCATATAACACTGAGTCAAAACATATTTCAGTTCTTTTGGGATTTGCAAGTATTGTGAATCTAGACATTAGGATTTATAAACCATAAAGTTTAGGGCTTAGTATGTTATGTGAAACCAGCAAGTTGTGCTTAATTCAGTAGATTATGGTTTAGTGCAATGTGCCAATTCATTCAGTGGCAAAGCTCTGCATAAGATGGGGAAGGAAAATAAAGGTTATATCTCTGTCTTCCAGCAGACATTTTAATACTGATTTTGCAAACATTGGTTTTGGAGTCAGTCTGATTTTGGCCACAGTCTTATTCCTATATTCTTGGAAATAAGTATCACTGAATTTGATTGGGACTTGAGCAATTCTGTGCTTGCCTGATAGGAATGCATGTTAGTTCCTAAATCCCATTGATTTCAATAGGAACAAAATTTACTGGAGCAAGTTCTGCAGTGACTGAAGCCATACTTTACCAGGTGGAGAATCCCGATGAGTTCACTTTTCTCTTGGTTATAAAACAGGTTGTGTACCTAATGGCAGTGTAAAATAAGCTGTTACATAGGAAAGAGCTTACTATAGCTTTTCTGAGGTTGGGCTTAATATGAACTGTAGAGAATTTTCTTTTCTAGCATAATTATAAGATTTTACAGTGGCTTAAATAATTTTTCCATTCTTCCTTTTCAATAAATGAGTCATTATTTCTGTGAATAGGAAAAGCTGCGACTTCAGGGCCAAATCACTGAAGGCAGTAATATGATCAAAACAATTGCTTTTGGCCGCTATGAACTGGACACCTGGTACCATTCTCCCTACCCAGAGGAGTATGCCCGGCTTGGGCGCCTCTACATGTGTGAATTCTGCCTCAAATATATGAAGAGTCAGACAATACTTCGCAGACACATGGTAAGTTTTTAACTTAGGGTGTCTGAGATAGAAAATTGTTTGTTTATACAAATTTGTTATAGCCACCTAAACTCCAATGCACTCTGGGCAGTATACAAAACCAAAAAATCATAAAAACAGATAGAACGTAAAACCACACAGACAGCCCAGACTAAAACAATCTTAAAAATAACACAAATCAAACAAAACAGGGCCCCCAAAATACAATAAAACATTAATACATGTTTGTATTGTATTATTTGTATTGTATTAATATATAATAAAATATGTATATTAATGTATATTAAACAAATTATTTTGTTTAAAACTTGAAACAAACAACATCAACAGCAACCCTTATCCCTCTAATGCCATCTCCTGGTGATCCTGATTTTTGCAGCCCAAATCTGGTAGCTTTAACCCTAGTCCTTCTTGAATTTAGAGCCACTTTTTGCTCTGGCAATATACTCTAATTGAAAATAATATAAGGAGAGATAGGCTTGCTCTGTGTTTTTGATCTCTTACACAAGATAGAACCCTTTCAATTTCTTCTCCTGGGGTAGGAGGACCTCCTGGGAGACGATACTAAATTAATTCCATTAAGGGGTTACTTCATTCCAGTAAGGGATTATTTTAATCATGTTTTATAATAGACTTCTAAATCTGTGTTGTCATATGGTCAAGAACATACTGTCTCCTTCCACTGCTTTGGAAATTTAGTCTTGTTTTTACATGTGGCTGTAAAAAAATGCAGTTTGTATCTGCTAGTATGAGTGTTAGTGAAAAAGAAAGAGATGCGTTGCCTATCTTTCTGGGAAACAGAAAACATTCCTCCCTACCTGGCTTTCATAATTTATATCCTAAATGTGAATTACATTTTTATTGTCAGTACTCGGTAACACACCTATGGTAAGGAGATAGGGTTCTAGTTCAGAACATTTTTTGTGAAGGAGAGCCTGTGAATTCTCTGGGAAAAGATAGGAAATGCAGCAGACAAATCAATTCTAAAGAATGCTGCCATGACCCCATCTTGAGTAATCATCTCCAGCAGCAGAGAATCCAATTTGGGCCTTTCACCTCTTTTTTTCCAATGCTTAATTGTGGCCACCTTACTGCTTTAGAGAAGAGTGCCTCTCAGAATGGGGTTTACGGCAACCATTTCCTACTGAATTAGGGCTATTGATTGGATTAGACTAGTGTGGCATCACCAGTTAGAATCTATACTGAGTTGGTCACAAGACTCTGTCCTTCCAAGCCACTTCACATTTAACTTCCAACACAGGCAGCAATGGCTGCTGCCGCTGCTGGCAGCCATAGCTGGGGTAGAAATTATAAGATTTGTGATAGTGGGCAGGGAGCCCACATAACTTGTTGAGCTTTTCAAGCTTGGAAGCCAGCACCTGTTTACCATCACCTTAAATTCAGCTGAACCCAGATCAGTCATTGATTGATTGATTATGTGCCATCAAGTGGGTATTGACACTTAGCGACCAGATAGATTTTCTCCATGACGACCTGTCTCTAACCTGGTCTTTCAAGATCAGTTATTAGAATCTAATTTTTAGATGCTTCTGTAATTTTTTTCAGATTCTGTCCATTCTGAGCCAGAACCTAAAAGCACAGTAGTTCATGTAAGATAATTCTGGTTGAGCACAGGTACTATTCTGTGCCTGCAAATGTATACATGCCCACTGTTAGAATGATATGCTCCTATTAAAATGAGTTTTGTTGGGATAGAAAAACATTAGCAGTCCTGTTTTGTCTGTTTAAAAGGAAGGAAGGAAGGAAACACTCACTTTCAAAAGGCCCATGTAATGTAAATCAGAAGCATTGTTCAGAATGAACAGAAACAGAATCTGAAAAAAAAAGTATGGATTATTGTCTAGTCAAAGATTTGAATTTTCAATTTGCTAATAGTTAATTTAATCTAGACAACCTTTTGTCTTTATTTTGTATTATTATTATGTGTAATGTTAATATTGTTCATACAGTTGCTGGTATGCATGCTTTCTTTTAATTAGTTTCATATGATGAAATACTTTAAAACAGTTTACATATTCTTATCAGTGCACATTGGTCAGTAACCCATTCCAAACACCACTATCACTTTGTTTTCTGAATAGAATAGGCCTCATTGCTTCTGAGTCCAAAGCAAATATTTTTTTCTCTTAGGCGTTGTATTTGAAAACTGATTGTCACAGTAATGTTTGTCTATCACTCTCCATAGGCAAAATGTGTCTGGAAGCATCCTCCAGGGGATGAAATCTACCGCAAAGGTTCAATCTCAGTATTTGAAGTAGATGGGAAAAAAAACAAGGTAACTCTGTGTATATGGCGTGGATTTCTGGGAGGAAGAGAGCTCGTGCCTTTTGTGGGCTATTTGTAGGTCATACAGATGGTTTTGCTAGAAATGTTTCATCACTGTTGCCAGTCAGCCGGAAACATGGAAGACATATAAACTGGTTTAGAATCCGAAACCTGGTGTCTTCCCAGTATGTTGGCTGCTACTTCCATCTTTCTCATTCAGCACTGGTCTTGCTGATTGGGTGAAGAAGTGCGACAAATCTAGAAGATGCCAGGTTGTGATGTGGCCCAGAACAGGCTTTTTTGTGATACTGCTGTCTCGAGTCTTTTATAAAGAATAGGTTAATTCCAAAAAGTGTTGCTTTCAGAGTGTGGGTTCAAAGAAGTATATTTTAGGGAAAGAAGGGAGGGAGGAACTCTTTCAAGTTACATGGAAAAGAGGGAGATAAGGAAACATACCACAGTATGTCACATTTTGCCAATGTCCAGGATGTTTGTTTCAGTTGTTCTTAGATACCTGCTCCTTTCTCTGACTAGTTTGGAAACACTTCCCTCATAGACTTTTTCAGTGCTTTTTTGTAGTTCTGTGGACTCCAGGTCATCGCTCCCAACTATAGTCTTCTTATCAAGGAATCTCCCTGTCCTCTGCTGTAAAAACCTTGTAGCCATTCCATAAAGCTTAGGTTTATTGATGGCGTAGTATGAGATGGCAGAGCAATGACATGAGAGAATAGGTCCTAACTTTGGACTATGGGTGAGGAATTACTCTTTTTGAGTGCTTCCCTATGTAAATATTGCAAATGTTGCAATATTTGGTGCAAATACTGCATTGAACTGTCTCAGGAGGAAAAGGACTGGCCTAGGATGCATCTGGCTGATGAAGATGTTTCATAACTGATAGTTCTTAATTGAGGAAGTAATCAGAAAAGCTCTTTCCCCACCTCGGTGAGGTGATAAAATCTATTTGCTCATCTTCACAATCTCTCAGTCCACTGTGCTGTCCATAAAGGTCTGAAGCAGAATGAGACAGGTAAATAAGATGATGGCAGTTCTGGATTGTACCAATTCATTGCAGATACGGGATCATGTTCTTATTTACTGCTTTGAAGGGATGTCAGTGCTTTGGATTCAAAGCTAAAATGGTATTTTAGGGCATTTGGGGACACTCACATAACATCTATGCAAATCCTTAAATCATTTACATCTCTTTCCAAGCCATGTAGCTGCTGTCTGCAGTTACAGCACAATACTGGGAAAATATACATTTGGATTGCCACTCACCAAGTATTGACCACAGGGGAGGAGTGTGGATTTTGGCTCACTATTGATTTGTCTGGAACAATCTGCATTGGAATACTGAGATAGATCAACCTATTGGCTATATGTAGATTTTGTGGTTCAGTTTGTAGGAGTTCTATCTTGTGATAGGTTCTGGAAAGATAGATCACCTCTTGTTAATCTTTTATGGTATTAATATCTTGATGCTCTTTCTGATTTTTCCAGATATACTGCCAAAACTTGTGCCTTCTGGCAAAGCTCTTCTTGGACCATAAGACTCTGTATTATGATGTTGAACCATTTCTTTTCTACGTCATGACAGAAGCTGATAACACAGGCTGCCACCTAATAGGCTATTTTTCCAAGGTCAGTAATAACCACATGGAATCTGTTCCACCACTAGGGCTTTGTGCATTAAAGCAATATGATGATGGGTACACTGCCTTAGCTTAACATCTGGAAACAAGACAGCTCAGAGGTAGGATACTTGCTAAAGGAAGATTTGGTTCAAGCTAGGATTGAAATTTTCAAAATATTGGCGCAATTGGAGAGGGAAGTATAGAATTTTTCAGATGTAGAGTCACTTTTATTACATCATAAAATGTATTATGTGTAACTTGGTTTGCTTATGAAAATATATAAAATGGAAAAGTGTAAA